ATTTTTCTGAGCGCGACGGTCAATTTCTTGACGTTCGCTTCGCTGAAGCCAGTCTTCGGCTACGTGATGTCGATTGTCCATATTGCGATGGTACCTCCTTCAGTTCCGAATCTCGAGTGGAGCATCAGTGCGACGACGGCAAAGTAGACAGACGAGACCTGTGTATATGATCCAGGGCTTATCGGGTGCGTATCTCCCTCCACTCGCGGTTATTTGGGGCCGGTGAGTCGATTTTCTCAAGACCTGTCAAGAACAGAGCCAACTGTGGGAAAAAGTATTACCGGAGGTACCAGCGCGCAGTTTCCGAGGCAAGAGGCATATCAAAGACTGATAAACATTTGTTGAAAAACACGGGTATCATTGTGAATTTCTGGGGGATTAGCCAGGGTTGCTCCGGGTTGGTCGAACCCGACCCGCGTGAAAAATTGGGCACCGTTAATATGGCAGTGTACATGTGCGGATCCTGCGAGTCGTGGCAGATGCCCACCCAAGGTGGACCTGAAGCTGCACAACTTGCTTGGTTTATTGATGTTTTTGGCGACATTTTGTGTGCTTGGTTAATGGACGTCTTTGGCAAAATTGGGTGTAAGTACTTGAAGAATAGAGACCGGGAGTACATCTGATGCATCGAAACTAACCGCCTGTGTTTGGAAGGGGCGGCCACTGAATTAGACGAAAAGTGTTGGAGACCGTGAAGAGGAATTCATCAACGATGCATCAGAGTAGAACAGAAGAGTTTTATGACCATGAATGACCCACGTCCTCGCCAGACGCTAGATGCACAAACAAATCTATTCACCAAGGTAATCCCTACAGGAAAAAAATATTGCCCGCAACAAACTTGGAGCAACTTTGGAGCGGGTTGGAGGCAGGCAGAGATGACAGCCGGCTAGGTGTAGGATAGAATCGTCGAGCAGAGTCTACTGGCAATCTTCATCAAGCTGGGAGCAAAATTGTGCAGAAAGCGATGGAAGTCGGACGAAAGACTCTTGAAAGCTTGCTTGAAAGAGCCACGTGGCCGAAAGGGGGCTGTGCCGGGTGGCGGTGCATCTCCTTTTGCTCCCGACTTCGATGGAGTACCAACGAGAAGAATAGGACTCATGGATGATAGGACTCGGCTAAAGAGCGTTGGTATGGCAATTAGCGCCAAGCGGCGGAAAAGATAGGACTCGATCTGGCGGCCTGAGATCCGGCCATCAGTCCATCAATTGAGATCAACTCGCGCCGATGTGCTCGGCACCACGCAGTGGGCCTTGCGGCGAGCGCTAGCACCGCGCAGCGGGCCCCAGCGGCGAGCGTAGAGGCCCCGCGCCAGCAGTCGGGGTCTGGGGTGGAAAACCCCAGCCGTCCGGGCCGGCGCCCGCAACCTTCGACTCAAAACTCTAAAAAACGATAATATGATGAAGATCTGATCCAAAAAGGGCGGGATCAAGCAGAAGAAATTCAGGAACGTAAAGAGGGCCCCGCGCGAGCGGAAAAAGGCCTCGCGCCAGCGAAAGAGGCCAGCGCCAGCGAAAACGGCGGGGTCTGGGGGAGCCTTCCCCCAGTGAATGCCGACTGATGCCGATGATGTTATTACTGATGCGACTCGCTTGATTTGGCATTTTAGCCGAGTCCTATCATCTCGAGTTAGCCGAGTCCTATTCTTCTAGTATATACTCACTTCGATGGTCGGGTCATCGTGACTGGCGCTCAGAACAAAGCTCAGAAAGTATGGCCCAACTGCAGACACTCCATAATCATGGTCCCTACACGCCGGCCGATGCTTAGGGATTCCCTTCCCAGCCGGGACTCGGGAGTTACATCCTGGAAATCCTGTATCGCGAGTCACTGGTTACTACGGCTCTGTTAGTACTGCCCTGCGTGCTCATTCTCGAAGATCCAGCTACGGTCGACTCGCATCTATCGGTATGTCTTTGGTCCGACTAGGATGGGCGACTCGTGCACTGCTCGGGTAAAATCAAGTGCATCAGCACCGGCAATATCTAGAGATTACGGAATCAGTCGCAGTGACTCTCAGTCACCGTTTGTATTCCCTGAACTTACTCGACCTAAAATGCTGGCTCTAGAGGACTCCTCAAAACCGAAGCATCTCTCGTCACTAAACTTTTTCCTCCGCGCTGCTCAGTTGTGGCGTCGATGAGGAAAATAGCCATAAACGGTTTTTTCTCCGTGTATGGTGCATCGTTTTCTCCTAACTTGTGCGTCCTAACTTGTGCGGCTATCGCAGGTTTATAATACTCGGCGGAGTTGCCGCCTAATGGCCCATGTTTCACGCTATATATGGTCGACCATGACGCTAAGCTGTGCGTTGCATGGCCATGAACAACTCCGGGTATTAATATGCAGAGTTATCCTTTCCCTGCCCTCTATGCCATCACTAAAACGTCCGGCGACGCTTGAAAGCGTTCGCAGCTGGTGGTCGGACAGGAACCTCCCCGGCGCAACAATCAACCTACACGCAGCGTCCAAGCCACTGATGAAATTCATGTATCATAGACAAGCACTGGACTTCATGCGAAAGACTGGCCGGTCCCAGTTGACACCAGAACACATGGATGTTTATTCCAGCTATCTTGCGTGAGCTGTTAATCGGATTCCTAGTGGCCTCGGTTGACCTTTCGGTGCAGGGACAAATATGTCTCAGATTGGACCAAAATCGCGATTCTGAGGGAACTGAAGCAGCGGACAGAATCCAATGATGCTGCCCACTCTGTCGTACACTCTCATATGTTCCCGACGCTGCCAGCATTCCTGGAATCATCGGACGCGTTGGTACGTCCTTTGACGTGGGGGTTACTGGAGAATGTGGTGGCGCACGAATCCACGGCAAAAGCTGTCTGTACGCAGCTTGTGGCGCTCCTGAGGTGTGTCCCTGCGCTAGTTATATACGCTGATATTATTGATTCGGCTACAGAACGAGCAACAGTGTCGACGTCCTGTACGCTTTGGGGGCCATCACTCACTCTCAAACAGGCGCTCAAGCCGCTTTGGATGCACAAGTACTGCACAACGCGGCTGAATCACTTGCCTCGCCGAACTCCGAGGTGCGGAGATTGATGTGTACAATCCTCGTCCATCTTGGGTCCCACCAAGCTACGGCATTGAGCACCTGCGAACAACTTGCTGAAATAATACGGTAAGCTCTTCTCCCGATATTTCCATTGGCACTTTGGGCCAATTTGCTGATCAAGCAGCGAAAGTAATGCCCACACACAGCAAGTCGCAGTTCAAACACTTTGCGCTATCACAACGGCGGTCGTCGGAGCGGAGGCTGCAATGGAGACCGAGATCCTCCGTCACATTCCGCCACTGCTTTTATCACCCGACAACAAAATACGGAATGACACGCAACGCTTACTAGGAAATTTGGCGTCACACGAGTCGTTGAGCCTGATAATTTGCCAGGAGCTCATCGTTCTTTTGTGGTGAGTCGGTGCCGTTTATTTTTCGGCGACTGTCTCATTGCGCCCATCAGCGGGAGCAACATTGACCTACAACCCATCACAATTGATGTGTTATGCAGCATTGCAATGACTGGCGCCGGGGATGCTGTGGTCGACGCAGGAGTCTTGGATCACGTTGCGGAGCTAGGCATATTACCGAACGCAGATGTCCGGCGACTGACATGGACGACTCTCGTACGTCTATGGTACAGCGACGGCCGAGTGCCGGTGGCCGTTGTTGCCCTCATGTAGTCAGCATTTTCTGCTCGTCATCATCATCCTTGCCTTACTTTGCGAATAGTCATACCGACACAGAAATCCTAATAGGTGCCCTTATCGTGCTCTGCAAAAGTGCAGAGAGTTGGAACGGAGCGCAGAGCGTTGTCGAGGCAAAAGCACTAGATCACATCTCAGAGGTGAGGATATACCAGACCCGAACCTAACGAACATTAGCAAACCCGACACATTTTGACGCGACACATACCTTTTTTGGAAGAAACACGACACATAAATTCGAATGTGTCGCGTTTGATCATCCATCACTCGGCCATCAATCTTGCCGTCCCACTCAAAGTTTTCTTCAACAGCATTAATATACCTCTGACCCTGACACTAACCAACCCTACCTCTAACACTACCCACCAACCCAAACCTCTAACCACCCCAAACCTTAACCAGCCGCTGCGCGGCAGGAATACAGCACGAACCCTAACCAGAACCGTTAAGCTTGGCGTGGGAATGTGTCGGGTTTGATCGAAATTCCCATCCATTTTTGGAATGTGTCGGCTTACAATGTTCGTTAGATTCGGTTCTGGTGCATCCCGCTCAGAGGTCGTTGGCTTTTCTAACAATACAGCTCGGAACCTAGCATGGAAGTTGCTGAGCCACTTGGCTGTCAAACAACCCTCAATGCTTTCTTCGAACGAGCACTATCTTGGCCGTATAAGCCCTCTACTAGGGTGAATTTCTCTGTTTTCTTCTCTGTTTCCGTTGACACTGCATCAGGGATAGTAATACCCATATAACGATAAGTACAGCCCAAGAACTATCTAGTTTGACTCGATCCCCCGACGGCGCCCAGGCTGCTCTTCACGCTGGACTGCTGCTTCGCATGGCGGAACTACTAGACTCGCCCGACCACAGGTTACTAGCATACCGCATACTCCTGAACCTCGCATACCGCATACCCAGAATCTCCGCCGCACTCGGTGTCCACTGCCAGCGGCTTAGACATTTTATGGGGTATGATTTTGGCTTCAATCATCTATCTATGCAAGTTATTGATTGCGCTGAATTCAGTGAGGACGATGAAGCCACATGGAAGGCGGCGCTGGAGTTTTTTTAGAGTGGGATTGCTGCAACCACACCTATATACCAATCCATGTACAGTAAGCTAGCGGTAACGCTGGCAAAGGAACCACCTTCCCGTGCCCTACAGAGAAAGGCCTCCAGATTCTGATGCAATCGATAAACGGCAGCTGAAGTTGTGAGTAATGAGAGGGACCCGAGGAGAATTTGTTTCAATGTCCCACCCGCGCGCTGCGAACAAAAACCTTCCGAGACGGGGAGTCGAACCCCGGGCAAGTGCGTCAAATTATCAATGAAAAGCACCTATGTTCCCGCTACACCATATCGGAGACGGGAAGTGGCGAATGGCCAGCGTAAACATTCGCCGTTTAAAAATGCTCGCTTCGCAATGAAACCAATCTACCAATCCACTTTGAATTCTGGCTGACCCGGGTGTGCCCATTGCATAATTTGCATTGCATTGACACACCTGTTCACCCGCTTGGTGGCCTTTACAGATACTTATGTACTGATCTTGTTCTCAATCCAGCACAAAGTTGAACTTGAGCAAAAACAGTCAAAACTTCTCCTGAATTCTAGGCTACACACAATGTACAACGACGAAAAGTAATAATTAAGACAGAGCATAGGCAAATAAATCTCGAGTCCCAGGTTGATTTGGTTGCCACCGGGATCGTCATTGCAATGCCCCGCCAGATATGACCTTCAAATTTTTCTTTACAAGTGCAACCTGCATTTCTTGTGACGACCGCTCAAACAACGGTATTGCTTCCTTCCAGAGTGTCAGTGCCTTAAGCCTATTCCCCTGATCTCGGGCGATTTCTCCGAGTTTGAGCATGCATTCCGCTCTACTGCGGTGTATGTCCATTGATGTGAACCCTTGTAACGCTACAGTGAGGAGGGCGGCGGATGTATCCTTGTCATTCTCAGCTCCAAACAACTCCCCCAGGAATTGAAGTGCTCGATACATTTCCCGGTTTTGGTTTGACTTGAGAGAACACACGAGAAGTACTGTTATCCACGATGGGGCCCGATGTGCAGTTCTCCACTGCTGTCGATTAGCAAGTCGTTCCAAAATATATATTTGGACTTCTGCGTGGACTCCCAAACATGCTTTAAGGCACTGCTGAAAAAGTCGGTTTGCTGCTGCAAAATCTCTCTCTCTCAACCAAAGCTCTGCTTGGATGGTATCACACATAGTGACGGCCAGTGAGAAATCTATGCTGCTAAATATTGATTTCGCTGTATCGATTTTGGCCTGTACAACATCCTTGGGTGTATTTAGTGTCAGATCCAACTCTGCAATGTTCAACGAGATGAAGGCGTAATAGGATGCTTCTTGTTGGATGTCCAAGCTATGCAAGATTTGGGTTTGGAGGTGGAGAGCCTCCACATACTCAGATTTGAGCTTATGGGCATCCGCCTGAGTGCTACGAAGCGAATAGTCCAAGTCACCTCCTTCCATACCGCAAAGGACTAGGAGATCGCGTGCCTGGTTACACAACGAGACTGCATCGGTATAGTTGCCAACCGATAAGCAGCAGATGCCTTGTATCCTCAGTGCATCGGATTCAGACCACAGATCTCCAGACATTTTAGCCAATCTCTGTGCCTCGGATGCGTGTGTTTGGCCGAGAGAGTAATGACCACAATCCCAATCCATGTCTGCAAGAGATTTTAGGATTTGGGAGTGCCTTTTGGTGTTCCCTGTAGAACATGCTAAAGAAAGGGACTTTTCTAGGACAGTCCTAGCGGCAGACATGTTGCCAGCTCGGCGGCTATAATATCTGCCTAGACTAACGTAGAAGGAACCTAGAATTAATCAATACAAATTCAGTTGGCGTAATTGAAAATTAGCTGGCACTTACATGTCAGATCCGAGTCATTGCAGTCAGCTAAATGTGGTTCGGCTTCATTGGCCAAGGCCACCACATCATCCGTCGGACTGTTTCTCCAAGATTCAAGTTTGAGTGTCAGGTAAGATACCATCAAGCTATGATCGCCAAACTGGGGTAGAATATCAGAGACTTGGTCCAGCAAAGGAAGCCAGCCTCTGCCGGTCCCCATGCTGAAGTGATTGAGATGCACAATGCAATACATTGTGGTCACTTTCAAGCCCTCATAGTCTAGCCCATGAACCAGAATGTTTTGTATGTTGGAAAAATTCGATGTTATCTGTGCAGTTATTGCAGAGCTTGATAATGTTCCTGAATACCGCTTGTATAGCTCAAGGAGCTCTTGGAAATATTTTAGAAGGGGCTGAAGCAGATCTGCGGAAGGTGGATAAAATTGTTTCATATATTCGCGGATGGGAACCAGAGTGCGAAGCCGATGTGTGTTACTATTGTGAGACAAGGCCGTCGATAAAAGAGCAGTTTTAGAGCTGAGAACATCAGCAATCGGTAGTTTGCTTTGCAGGAGTTCCACATCGGAAAGACCATCCGGAAGTATGGAGAGCAGACTAAGTAATTCTCGTGCATGAGATCGAGATGCCAGACGTGGACTGGCAAGGGAAAGGGAGATCGAGAGGTCTAGATTGGATCTTCGATCGAAGCCATCCGAGAGCAAGGAGGTTTTCTCCTCTTCCCAGCGAGATAATACATAGGAACAGCCCTCCGAGTCGGCAAGATGCGCAATCAGGTCAATTGCAAGAGGCAAGTTATCAGTCAAAACCAGAATCTTGTCAATATCTGCAACAGAGTGTGCGTCATCTGCGATATCCATAAAGGTTTGTCGAGCAGCGTCGTGGCCCAGAGGGAGCAACGGTGGCAAGAATGGCCGGCTCCAGCGTACTTTGGCTGGCCGTTCAGCTCCTCGCATTGTGATCTGATACATTGGGTCAATTGTGAAGTTGATACAATCTTTATTCCTCTTACAACCAGTGCCAAGTGTTGTACCTGTGTAAGCAAGGACAAGAATTCCTCAATATCTCCGCGAGTATTCACTGGCTCCCAAGCAGTCTCCAGGTTGTCCAAAAACAACACAGAAGCAGGGTTGTTGGCAAAATAGCGGCCAATCAGCGCGGTGAGATCTGTGCCTGCCTTGAGTCCCAGATGCTCCCCAATCTGGGCAGCTAGTTCAATGCTTGTTGACACAGCGTCACAAGCGACGAAGAACCGCTGCTGATGATACCTCCCCGTAATATCTGGGTGATGCAGAATAGCTTTTGCAAGGCTAGTCTTGCCCATGCCACCGGGACCTAAAATTGCTATCGCTACTGTTTCCTGGGTAAAGAGACTGAGAATCTCAGAAATTTCAGATTGCCGGCCATGAAAGATTTTGGGCTCTGGGGGTAGTATGGAAATAGACGTTGAGCTTCAACATTATTAAGAAATGAAAACAGAAATACAAATCTCTCCACACACCTATTGCCAAATACAAAGAAGCGCTGGGCAGAAGTCATGGTTGGATATGTGGGAATGGATGAGATCACATACAGAAGATCCTGTGTCAGAAAAACTCGGGTCGAATAGGTTTTCGACAAGCTGAACTGCTTCCTTGTGTCGTTCTTCTGCGTATCTCTGAAAATCCCCCACATCAATGAGCAAATTGGTGTCCTGAATCTAATGTTTGCTCTTTGAATAGCGGTAATGGCAAGAAGCGGAAGTTTCAAAAACCTTGAAAGCATCTAGTCCTTGCTGCAATCCGGCGTTGCACTCTTTCAAGAGCGTAGCCATTTCCCCTTGACGGAAGAAATCTTTGATCCGGATTTTATCCTGTTGGGCCTCCACAAAACTGTGGACCTTGTGTAGTGTCCTTATCAAAGGGGTTAGAAGTAATCCAATAGTGAAGGGAGCAGTAAAAACAGGACATACTCGGTGAATTTACCCAGATTGTTCAATTGGCTAGGTAGCAGCTCCGCCTCAGTCTCCGAACTGATATGGAGGGAAATAATCCCGTAGAGCAGTCTGTAAGTCTGTTCCATCAATTTGCTGCAATCTTCCCTGTTCTTTTTGACGTTCTGGAAAGGCACGAGTGAGACAACGGAAATTCAAACCAGCTCTTTTACCATTAATCCACTTAGAAGAGACCGAGCAGTTGTCGAGATGGGTTGCAAGAACGGGGTTTTGAAACTGTAAGCAAAGACCTCTAGCGTTTGCACAGCTCCCGTGAGACCTGTTATGGCGCGGTTCAAGCGAGCCTGGGCCACGGTAACCTGCAGCGGCATTGTTTTGATGGGGGAGAACGATGAAACGTTATTATGCCCAGAGTTGAGCCCTACTTATAGTGCGACGTTTTGATCTTCATCTACCTCGTACATCAGATTTTCGAATCGAATGTTTTGATGACGACCGGCGGGGGAGTAGGCCTCCACTAGCACGAGATGGGGATAATTTCAACATAATTCGCATCGACGCTGTGTGCTGATTTAGTTAGCTGTTTCAGAATTACGTCTTTGTGACGTTCAGAAGGCACCAAGGACACTAGATTGCTCACCGGGTTTCCGAACATACTGATTGGTATAGCATGCGTCATCACTCAATTCCGCGACAGCCGGGGAGTGAGTGTGATTATTTTTGGCCGGGCGGAGCACTTTGAAAGGGCCGGAAGCAGAAGAGTAAAGATCACTGCAACAAAAAAGCGCCGTGGAGAATAATGGAGACGGGTGGCACTGGACGGGCTGCATGGAACAGGAAAAACACAACACCTTCATACAAGCCATTAGACTCTAGTCTAAGATCAATTGCGTCACCGCCCTGTGCAAGGCGTTTGTACGTCGACGGGAGTGTATCGCCCGTAGAAGGCAGAGGAGCAGCCACCAGATTCGAGGCGGCCCGGATATAAATCGGTGGGGCGTCAGAGTATTCTTCCTGCCATTTTCGATTCGCCTCCGCTTCCAAAACATTGACTCGCACAAAACACGCTGTTTGGTCGCCATTGTTTGAGCACGAATGAAAAGCGGCCGAAGACTCAGCGAAGACTTTGGGATTCTGGAACAGTTCGAGGATCGGAAAGATTGGTTGGTAGCAGCAAGGATGGATGTCATGGATTTCTGGGCGACTCCCAGCTCCGCAAAACCGACGAGTATAAGTATCGGCGTCACTGGGCGAGTAAAACATGAATGGATGCAAGAAGCAGAGGGATAAAACGTTGATCACTTTGGTCGAGTTTGTTTGATCTGGTCAGATGATGCGGTGACTACTCAACTGGTAAATTTGAACCACAGCTGCTGTATCGAACAAGGGAATTGGGGAAGCGGAGGACAGGCTTCAACAACCGTGCAGTAGAAAGCTCCGTTACGCAGGGTGCGAATCCAGGGCCACAACCCATGAAATTGGGTCAAGTTTCAGTGGAGGTTGCCTGTTCGACTCAGGTCCGAGCCGTGGCT